CTGGCGTCCGAACTCTGCAGGGAAAATTGGAAAACTGGCAGTTTTCCCTAATTTCCCAACACTGGCAGAGGTACTTGTGGTTTAAAACAGTAATAAAAAAAAAAAAAAAAAAAAAAAAAAGGCTCGGCAAGGCTGAGCTTACTGGTAGCGGGAAGCTTGGACTTGATAGCTGGGCGAGGTACTGGTGGTTTAAGGTTGGCTTTGCCTAATGAACAAGAGGTCGATACGCAAATTCACAGACCGTCCTAGAACAACCATTTTTCGAACCAGCAGACCCTTTCCCAGCTAATCCATTCCAAACTGGCAGTTAACCCTTCACAGAAACAGGGGCTCGATCTACTGAATGAAAATGGATGGTGGCACTGGGCAAACCGAAAGCAATTTGCCGTCTGTCGGTTGTTCCGTCTTGGCAAGCAGCACCAGTGCGGGTCGGAAAAAAACTACGCTGCCAGCTGTCTGATCCAAGGACATCTCCCCTGGACATCTTCGGGAGACAATCAGGGGGGAGTTGTCCAGGATCCCGGACAACCGCGTTTTGTCCAAAAAAGAAAAAGGAAAAAACTTCAAAAAAGGGAAAAAAATCGGGGCGGGTCTGCGCACCACTAGGGGACCCCCCCCAGAAAATTTCAGGCCATTCTGAGCAAAAACGAAAAAAAATGGTAAAAGGGGGGAAGGGGTTGGGGTTAATGGAGGGCTCGTTGATAGACACAATGAGGAGGGGGCATAGACGATGGGGGAAGAGAAAGAGGAAGAAGAAGAAGAGGAGGAGGAGGAGAAGGAAGAAGAGGAGGAGGAGGAGGAGGAGGAGGAGAAGGAAGAAGAGGAGGAGGAGGAGGAAGAAGAGGAGGAGAAGGAGAAGGAGGACGAGGCAGTGAAGGAGGAGAAATGGGCCGTGGCGATGGAGGACGAGGAGGAGGAGGAGGAAAAAGAAGAACAGTAGGGGAAGGAGGGGGAGGACGAGGTCGAGGAGGAGGAGGAGGAGGATGTCTTTTTCACCGCAATCTGAGGAGGCTGTCTCTTATACACATCTAGATGTGTATAAGAGACAGCGGTAGTGGAGGAGGAATGGGCCATGGTGATCAAGGACGAAAAGGAGGAGGAGGAGGAGGAGGAGGAGGAGGAGGAGGATGTCTTTTTTTCTCACAGCAATCTTTGATGATTTTGTTTTTTTTTGATAAATTTAAATTGACTGAAAACTAAGGGCAGACCCCTATACACATCTAGATGTGTATAAGAGACAGGAGGAGGAGGAGGAAGAGGACGAAGCGGAGGAGGAGGAGGAGGAGGAAGAAGAGGAGGAGGAGGAGGAGGAGGAGGAGGATGAGAAGGACGAAGACGGGAAGGAGGAGGAGGAGAAGGAGGAGGAAAAAGAGGAGGAACAAAGGCTGTCTCTTATACACATCTAGATGAACAGTAGGGGAAGGAGGGGGAGGACGAGGTCGAGGAGGAGGAGGAGGAGGATGTCTTTTTTTTTTCACCGCAATCTTGCATGATTTTTGTTTTTGTTTTTGATAAATTCAAATTGACTGAAAACTTATAAGGGTACACCTCACTTCTCAAAGAACCCACAAGAATTTGTTTTGGAAAAAAAACAGCCCTAAAACAAAAAGAAACAGG